TTCCAATGAGCCGCATCCTCACAACAGCCCCGCAAGGGAGGCCGGCGGTGCTGATATGGCGGCTGGGGCGGGCGGTTCTGCAGCCAGCTCACCAGTCTGTGGCTGCGGCAACAACATTCTAAGGGCACCGCTCTGGCCGGCCACGGGTCCTGTCCAAGTTGTCCCGCCTCCCCTGTTCCACAGCGTTTGTGTAATGGCACGACACACCGGTTGGCAAATTGCGTGGGATTTGTTGATGTCCAGCATTTCTGGGCAAAGCCCAGGCAGCCAAACGCAGCTCCCTTCTTTGCCCTGTGCCCCCCAGAGGAGGCTGGTGGTGGCCAGATGTGCTTGTGTGTCCGGTGTGCCACCCTTGAGTGGACAAAGCAACACTTTGGCAATCCGGGAAATGTTGTCTCGCCAGACTGCCACTTTCTATTGTCAGTAGTCAGTCCTGCTGGTCGGAAAGATACTTCCTTCCAGGTAAAATACGCGTTGTCTCCAAGTCTGCCTCCGGGTTTGTGGGGTATCGATTGCTCCTGCTTTTGCCGGACAGGCACGTCCACGCGTTCTTCAGAAGAGCCTTTTCAGAAATCCTGAGGTCCTATAAAGGCGGTTTGCTTTAGGAAAGCTGAGAGCTGCTTCGGGGGTGACTCATGGCTGGCGACGAGGGCCTGTGCAGTTCCTGCCTCGCGTAATTGCCAGGTAAACACCTCCCTGCCGGCTGGGCCACCCTGACTGGTTCTCTTCTCTCCCGCAGTGTGCCAGCCGGTTGCCGGACTTAATGGGATGGCACAGGACCCAAACGTGCCTGTCCTGAGGATCCTCAGTGCCCATGGGGCAGAAACGTCTCTGTCTGGAGTTGATTATGAAGCGCCCGAAGAGGAAGATATGAAGGAGCTTGTGGCACCTCAGTGGCTTGTGGGTGACTCAGGGAGAGGTGAGTTGATGGGCAGCTTTTGTCAATATCAGGATCCCTTTTGTCCCTGATGGCAGCAAGTCTGATGGGGCTTCCAGTAAGAAGGCAAGTCTAGGGGGAAAGAGCGCTTTCATTCAGAGCCAAACATCTGCATTGCTTTGAGGGCCTGACTCCACGGTAATTTTGCCTGGCTCGGGTTAAGACGCCGAGCCGCAGACGGGCAGATCTGTAGTTGGGCAGTTCGAGACCCGAGTGCCGCCTGACAGAGTGAGCTCCCGTCTCTGGCCCCAGCTCCTGCCAACCTAGCAGTTCGGAAGCAAGAAATCGCAAGTAGATAAACAGGTCCCACTTTGGTGGGAAGGGAACAGCGTTCTGTGCGCTTCAGCGTTTAGTCATGCTGGCCACATGACCACGGAAACGTCTTTGGACAGCGCTGGCTCTTTGTCTTGGAAATGGAGAGTCAGATTCAACTAGCTTTCAAGCAAGGGAAACCTATGTCCCAGGTTGGGTGGGCAGACATATTCTGGGTGTCTCTGCTTCTTAGGCCTGATCTGAATCAAGACCGTGGGGACTGGGACAACCCCCCCTCCGAACCATTTTTCCCAACCTAAAACGGTCTGGGGGTGTTTGGGGCTTGATGTGTATTGATGGGGTGCACATAGGTTTCCCCGGTGGGGCAAGCAGTCAGTTTCAGGTTGGGAAAATGGGGAAGGGCTTGTCCCTTGTCCCCGCAGGCTGTGGTTGTGATCTGAATCGGGCCTTCGCACACCTGGGAAGAACAGACTCCCCGGACAGATCTGCTGATGTGGGGACATACCCAGGGAAAAATGTGTTGTGTAATAGAATGCAGTCAGTTGAGTTGCAAGCAGGTTCTGTTTTTCTGCCTGTGTTAATTGTGCCCAAGAAGTACGAGAGGGTAGAAGTAATCCTTACTCTGGAACTGGCCTTGATTTTTTGTATGTAACCTGAAATTCTGTATTTTGGGCTTTTGTCAATAAATCAATGGAAATACCATTGCAGTTGAAGAGTGGCTGGGTCGTCGGCAGTTTACAAGGGTTTTTGCAAAGGATCGGCCAGGCTAGCCTGAGCTCAGCGGATCTGAGCAGCTAAGCAGGGTCCGTGCTGGTGAACCCTCAGATGGGAAACCACCAAGGAAGGCCAGAGTTGCCATGCAGAGGCAGGGATGGGCAGACCACCTCTGCACACCTCTTGCCCTGAAAGCTCTCTGTGGGTTATCTGTCAGTCAGGTATGGGTAGACGGCACTTGCTAGGACCACCAAGGATTTGGGTGGTTCTAAGGTGACCTCCCTCCCTTTTCATCAGCAGAAGATCTGGTTGGATCCAACCCCTTGAGCTCTTCAGTAATGCATTACACCATCATATGCCTTCTACCACCTTGACTCATTTTGTCCACAGTTACATTTGGTAATAAGGATGTCCTTGAAAGGTGTCTTGTATACATCCACAGCATACAGAAGAATTATCATTATCTAATGCTTTATGCTACTTATTTTGAATGAGTAAAACCTTATCTCTAGAAAGCACTTCACTCATTCTAAACAAGAAAATATTTCATAGGAGTCTTTTTCAGTTGTTGTTGTTCAGTCGCACAGTCGAGTCAGACTCTTCGCGACCCCATGGACCAGATCACGCCAGGCCTTCCTGTCTTCTGTTGTCCTCTGAAGTTTGCTTAACTTCATGTTCGTTGCATCCAGGGGTCATTTCGTAGAAAAAGAGCTAGGGGGACTCATTAACATAACTCATTAGCATATGCCACACCCCCTGACATCACCGGAAGTGTGTCATAAGGCCACACACCCCGCCCCCAACGGTCCCGGCCGCCGCTGCCGGCCTTGCAGCTCCACTGCCGAGCCCCATGAGGGGCCCGGCGGTGGACCTGCAAGGCCGGCGGGAGTG